CCGAATTTAATTCATTAATTTAAAGACCTTCGAGCCCGAAGAATCTTATTTTTCTTTATTATTAATTTGAAAATTTTGTTTGTTTTTAGAAAATTTTTTCAATCTAAATTATATTTTATCAGGATTGTGGGTAAAAAGGACACATATAAATTATCAAGTCTTTGTTTTATTCAATGTACTCTTTAATGAAATATACGCGTACGGAAGGTATATCTTTGCTCTCCAAACTCTCATAACTAACTAACTAACTAATACAGCTGCCGCTGTGCGTCACAAGTCCTTTGTGACTTACTTCTTTCTCCTTTCTATCGTGCCCCTGTTTATGTAAACACAAACCTTGGTTAAACTAATTAATAAACTGCAAATAAGACGGAGATTAATTTTTGATTTCATCGCCTCTCTTTGAGTCACGGCAACTCAAACATATTTAAATTGAAATTTATACGACCATGAGACGCTATCTTGTGTCTTGAAATTAAATCTTCGAAACTTATTTCACATGCGATAAATCGACGCAGCCGGTGCGTCTTGAAACGTTGAAATCGACGATCTTACGCGACGATCGCCGCTCCCGTCTTGCGCAGATACCGCAATGACGATACCGCGATGTACCGATACAGATCTAAGGTCGAGTGCACGAGGTGGCTCTTCTTAAGGCGCGGTTCTTTATCATCCGTAGAAACGAGCCAAACAACGCCAGTCAGTAAAGTGTCACGAGCGCGGCGACAATGTCGCACTTATTATACATTGCGAATAATTGGCGCTGGCACACAATGTCGGTGGTGTCATCGCACTTGACGGCGCGATACGCAATAAGTTTCTAAAAAGTGACGGAGCAACTCGCGTGCGATCGATCGGCATGCATATAATCGATTTGTCTTAATCCGCGAGAAAGATTGAATTAATCGTTGTTGTGTTCGAGCGATTTCGTGCGCCGCGACAGAAAAGTTACACGGCGCGTGTAACGCGGACGACAACGTCTCCCGATAAATCTCTCGTCTTTCACCGAGATAAAAGTGACGAAACGCTGAACAAGATATAAGATCCGTGTGATTTAGATCCGTCTAGCATTTGGATCGTTCTCTTCGGAGCCGGTGGCGCGTCAGCGCGATGCAGGTACAAAGATAAACATATAGATATATATATATATATATAGATCGCGGTAATAAATATTTACAAAAAAAAAAAAAATTATATTAACAAACTAAGTTTTCAAAATAGCCGCGGCCTCGTACTTTCCATCTGAAAAGATTTCACGTCTGTTTCGAACATTCTTCAAGTTTACACATCCGCATTATCTGCACATATAATCTCCCGTTGCGAAAGCGCAACGAATTTTTGAGAACCGGCTTATCTATACTCGCGATACTGATTACGACAATCACCGATAGATAAGAGATTTATCGCGCGTTTCATCAATAAAAAATGATTGCGCGGCCCGTCGTTCGCGTTTCGTTAACTTGGAGCGTTTGTTTGCTCGCACGTTTAAGGGGGATTATTATTGTGATACAACACACCTCAAAAGTATAATACCTAGCTGCGCGCGCGCCTGGATTCATTATGCGTACTTTTCATTTTTCTTTCGATGCGCCTAACTTTTGCAAGTGACTGTCCACACAGTGTTTTGTTTTGTGTATACACGCACTGTGGATGTGTTTCGTTTCGTGCATATGCGCGCATTTATCCATAGTACACGTTACGTATACTGTAGATCGTGCGCGTATATGCACGAAACGGTATGTGTTTTATATCGCGTCTGATCTTTCGCGTTTTGAACTTTAAAACGCAATATTTTGGAAACCGCGAAGCTAAGCTTTCTTGAAATTCACCTATAATATAGTAATTATAATACTTAATAACATTATTACTTTTTAACAACTTTCCTAAATTTCGTTTTGACGCCATAGTGCGAAATATGCTTTTCACAGCAATTCTTTCATAAGATTTTGAAAAAATTTATATCTCGACTTTGGTGAAGCTGAGCTCGTTAAAATTTTTACATATTGTACATAATAATGTTATTTACACGTAGTAATTTTTTCAAAAACTTCTTAAATTGTTGAAAAATCACAATAAGCCCCTTAAAGTGACGCGCGTGTCGACGTGAGAAACGCATTCGGTAACGATTCGCGATGGTGATTCACATGTATTAATTAACGCGATCGATTCCGCGTAGGTGTTCCACGCAAAAATTCACGCATTTCAATTTCGCCGCCAGTTTTCCGGATAATACCGGTGACAAAACAAGCGAGCGACTCGAGAATGCATTACGAATTCGAAACCGCTGCGAAGAAGTTTCGATCGAGGAGAGGAATACATTTCGTTTTTTTGCACTCGGTCGCGATTGCGCGCGTCAAAGGTGAAAAAAAAAAAAGACAACAAATACTTTGCGATTCCTCTTAGAGACAAAAAAAAAATGGCTGAAAAACGTAATTTATATTATCGTTAAAAAGCAATTTTCTCATATCTTTTCCGCGATAATCGATTTGATTTCACTTTAAAATCACACGCGAGAGTGAGAGTGAGTCAGGTGAACGCGATGAATCAGAGCGTCGTCGGGAGTGATTAAAAAACGCGAGAGGCGCATTTGTCTAATGTTAATTAAATAAATATTTAAACAATTGTGACTTAAGGCTCGTGAAAAATTACCAACAAGATATGTATAAGGCCTTACGAGCTATTCTCAAGATGTTTTGAGTAGAAACTTGTACGTGTATATATATACATACACATGTAACGAATTCAACTTGTAAATTTTTACAAGCGAGTGTTTTTTTTGAGTTGAAAACTCAATTCTTAAAATCATACGGGATGCCGGATTTGCATCTCACATATGACTGACCCCGGATACCTCCCTAACTAATTTAAAAATTTTTTAAAAAAATTTTAAACCGGGGTCAGTCATATGTGAGATGCAAATCCGGCATCCCGTATGATTTTAACCCCTTGGGTACGGATTTATTTGAGAAAATATTTGCATATGTGGAACGGATATAATTTTTGGTTTGACGTCTTAAACACGTCATCCGCTCCTAGGGGAAAAAAGTGAATGACGTGTCTCAGACGTCAAATGTACCCAAGGGGTTAAGAATTGAGTTTTCAACTCAAAAAAAAACACTCACTTGTAAAAATTTACAAGTTGAATTCGTTACATGTGTATGTATATATATACACGTACAAGTTTCTACTCAAAACATCTTGAGAATAGCTCGTAAGGCCTTATACATATCTTGTAAATAAATATTATTCCGCGAGGAAGAATAGTATTTTTTTTTTTTTTCACCTCTCCGCGACTACATCGAAATCGAAAACGCGCTGAAATGCGAGTTTCAGCTGCTTCGTAATGAATCGGTTGCGAAACTGTTTCTTACTTCGCTCCGAGGCATTTGCCTAAACATAAATCTACATAAATAAACGGGCGCATTTCGCTCTTTTCCTCCTCTTCCTTCTCTCTCTCTCTCTTTTTATTTCCTTCGATATTTCTTGTCTCGTCCAGGAGTCACGTCAATACTACAACATTGTGCGTTTCGAAACGCACGATAGAATTTCTTGTGTGATATATACGCGACGCACTCTCTTGTGTCTGACTGCATAAATACGCTGTTTTTTTTTTCGTTTGTCGCATATTGTTGCACCGGAAGGAAGTCTGCCCACACCACGCTGCGACCGCGTCGCGCTTCAATAACATCAACACCGCTTCGTCGTCGGTCGACCGTGCAACCATTTTTTTGCATGCGCAAAACGAAATTATTTTCCTCCCCAATGAGTTTCGCGCAAACAAACGCACGCAAAACTATAATTATAGGTATTGAAATCCCGAGATCTACGGAAATTAATTTTCAATGTTACGGATACACGATCGAAAAATCGCGCGACAAGATTTTGCGCGACAGAATTATTTTTTTTTTCCAACGAGTTTTGCGAAAACTAAAAATGAGTGAAAAATCGCAATTTCGAGACCGACGGAAATGACCTTTCTGTATAACGGGCGCGCAGAAAAATAATATTCTTTCGCAAGTTACAAAAATGTTTTTTTCCAAAAAAACTTTGCAACAATGCGAAACGGAATTCGTAATTATCAGTTTTTAAGAGATTCGAAAAAGCAGTTCGCTCTCTTGCCAGACACCGCGTAAATCGACAGAAACTGAATTTTCATCGTTGCGAAAAAAACTCGCGGAAAAACACACACCTGCGCTCAAACAAACCGGTATCGGCTGTGGTTCGAGTTTCTCTTGCAAATTAAATCCGTTTTGAGGTCGTTCGTTCGAAATTTTTTTATCTTTGTCGACTAAGTGTTTTTGTTGTCACGGGAAAAAATAATAATGTATCCGTTTTACTCGCATCACAACAAACAAGCAAACATTGATTATGAAAAAAATAGTTCACACTCACAGAACGTATTTTTCACTGAGAGACTTGGTAACGGACAAGATGCGAATGGCATTATCGCGTTTACCGCGCTCGGATTATTGCGCGGTAAATCGTGATCGTTTAATCTGTGAAATCAGAATTTCACGAGAGAATCACGGAAAATGGGCACTGAATCATAGTCACGCGTCAAGAGGATCGTGAATTTCTGCGGAAAGTTTCCCACGGAATCGATGTCGTTTCTTCTGCGGAATACGCGTGAATAAGAGTTGCCGTTACTCAGACGCGGATTCGATCGGGAAATGACCACAACATTTCTCTCTCTCTCGACGCGGAAGGAAAAACGATATATGGACCACGCCACGTCATGAGAAGACGCGCGTAGGAAGGAGTTGCGTAGCGCGCTAATCGCGATGATGTAATCGATGAAAATCGCTAATTGCAAACCCAGAATAGATCGTGCGGATAATTTGTTGAAAGTTCACAGAATTTTTATTAACAACGAGTTAAAAAAAAAAAAGTAAATGTGCGCGACAGAGCGTGAGTTCCAATCGATATTAATTTTTACGGTACTTTAATATAAATTGTTTAATATAAATTATTAACAAAACAGAAATTGATTAATAATTGTAAATTAATATTAATCATTATAAAATAATTGTTTAATGCAAAATATACGCGTATTTAATTTGAGACATTACAATAAAGCTATTGATGAAACACAGACACACACACACACACACATATACACACGTAACAACTGAAATGTTATACGTAAAGCGCAATAGCGATCGTTATCTTTTTAACGACTTCCATTCTTCAAAGCTGTCGACCACAATTAGATTAAACATATCCAGTTTCCGATAAGAAGCTACCTACGTTCTTCCCGTCGAGCGTAATGCAACGTAGCACGTAGGAAGTGGCAATATCTTGTTTAAGAAAAAATACATTCGCGTCGCGAATATACGCATGTCGCGGCGCTATTTGCGATTCGATCGGACAACTATATATATGCGTTATCAGAGAATTTGTCCAATCTCACAATGTGTGCCGATTAATTATTCCCATTCTCGTAACTACGCGTCAACAAAACGTTGCTGTGAAATTTCGACTTTTCTTTCTAAAGAAACTAAAGTTGACTTCTTATTTTTTTTTTTTCAAACTTTACTCTCGCTTTAGAATTTAAGAGGTTAGATTAAGACAACACTCACCCCTCACCTTCGCTGGGCTTGAGAGGTAAACGAGCCCCGAGCTCGATTGCGGACGCCAGAAATGTCACGTACAGATCCGCCGCGTTTTTCCACAACTTTTTCCTGCAAAAAGCAGCGTTAGACGCGTTATCTCTCGCGCTGACATAATTTTATCGAATTAACCGCATATATGTAATCACATCAAGTAATTCCCCTGTTTACGAGATTTTCCCCGTCCAAAGGAAGGAAGTTAAGTGACATGTGACGCACGTTATCGGTATATCAAGGACGTTGAAACTATACTACCGCGGAAGTAGACATTGCGCGATTGCGTTTTGCTCAACGCGCGATGAAACAGACCTAAATATGTCGAGAAGCTTCTCGGTGCGATTGCGATCTAACATGTCCTCTACGTTGAGATTGTCGATCTTCAGATGCACCTCGTACTTCGTCAGATTCTCTCGCTCGAGCACGTTCATGTCGAGGACCCTGTAGCGAGTTTCGTAGGTGTGCTTGTTCAAACCCACGATCTCCAGCTAAAAAAAAAATTTTATATCGTCCTGCGTTATTCAAACACGGCGCGATCATCAAATTAAAATCATCTCACGACGATGTGATAATGTAATTATTGCGTCACCTGGAAGTACTTCTGATCTTTGGGCGCGACGCCATAGAGAAAACCGTGATGGTCCTTCTTGCTGTACGTGTAATGTATCCACGACGGGAGATCAGGGGCGTTCAGCAAGGAGGGTTGGTAGGAAAACTGATCGGAATATCCTGAAAATTGAAGCGATGCAATTTTCACTTTCGATATTCTTCGACAGAAAAAATTAAATTTATTAATAAAAGTAATAATACCGATAAAAAAAGAATCCTTTAATTTGAACATTTTTAGTAAAAATATTCTGAATAATAATTAATACTTCAGATTTTTTCAACTTCAAATTTGTGTTATTTTCGTAATAAATTGAAAAAAAAAAATAGATGTGTATCTATACGTATCTGTAGATAAAATTGATTGATTATATCCAGACGATTATATATCTCGTTACGTGAAACAGAATCACCGTCTCTCTCATAAGTGAGAGACCCCTTCACTTATATCTTTCTCTCTCGAAATGATTAATCGATTCAAGTTTAAGGATAAGAAATGCAATTTTTCTCACACGCAAAGCGTGAAAGTCCTTTGGATCTATGGAAATATATGGTGTTAGATAAGTTTCGCGGCTCGTATCACGTAGGCGCGGTGAATTAGAAAGTACCGCGGTATGCGACAATGTCGATCGTAAGGTCAGCGCGCACGGTCCAGCGAGTAATTGCTATTCGCGGCGTGTCACGAGTGACGTACGAAGACGTAGTTTAATTTTGTATTGTGAAGTGGGTTAACGGTGTATTCGAGTTTTAATTATAGACCTAGACCTAGACTAGGATAATATTTTTTGCGTTTTAGGAAAAGAAGGAGAGACAAACGAAAAATCGTATAATTCAACACAATTTTAAAAATGTTTGTCTTTTTTTTACTTCTCATTATTTTGATGAAACAAAATATTACGTGTTATATATTAAAATAAGATAATAATTTACATATTTTTTTAAAAAAGATACTTTTTTTTTGTATAACAAAATTAATCTCTTAGGAAATTTGTCTGCCGATTCTCTTGATAAAAAGTCTCTTACCGTCTGCGCTCCAGTCGAAAATCTCCGGTCTAATGGGAATGACAAAGACCTCTGTCATTAGAATATTCTCGGGAGCGACGAGGCCCATCAATGTCACGAAGAATATTACGCTCGGATGCATGATCGTATCTGAAAACAGGGCGACATCTCGACACATTGTCGATAATACATCGAGATAAGATTCTATAGTCATGTTAAGCAATACGAAAAAAAAAAAACGTCAAGACCCATGAGTGAAGATTCAAAAATCAATAAGATAGAATTTATAATAAAGCACACGGAACACATAAAAATCATGTAGAATTCATTAAGTGGAAACATTTTAAACAACGTGAAATTTTGGTCAATGAGAGCATATACAGAGTGTCCAAAAAGTTCCGGGACGGTCGAATAACTCTTCTTTTGAAGGTTCAAACTTTTGTTTTGAAACATTTTTTCTCAAAACGCTTACTTGAAGAGTTATTCAATCGTCCCGGAACTTTTTGGACACTCTGTATATGTATATATATATATATATGTTTGTGTAAATTTTTGCACGTGAGTTTCGAATTGAAATTTCAATTCTTAAATTCATATAGGATGCTATTTTGCATCACGTATACGAGAGACCACCCCCCTAACTGAAACATTTTGTTCAAAAATGTTCTATAAAATACAAAAATAATCTCTACAACAAAGAAATTAGCGAGAAGAGAGAGAGAGAGAGAGAGAGAGAGAGAGAGAGAGAGAAAAGCGAGATGTACTTTTAAACAGAGATATATATATATATATATATTTTTTTTTTTTTTAATACTTTTCTCTCACAACGTGCGATTTTCAGAAATTAGCACATTGACACGCCAGTTGATAACATTTCGTTGGAAATTGCACGCGATCCGTCTGACTGAAGCGACGTGACTCACATTCTGTGCGGATAAAGTGCAAAGACCGCAATATATTCTCCGATTTTGCAATTATTGCGCACGCAGCCGGGGCGACACCGCGAAACGATTATTTAAGCGTGGGAACGAAGAAGCGTGTTCACGCGCGTTTCCGACCTGAATATAACTCCTCTTCGCGATCGGTCGTGTTCTTGTTGTAAGAGAGTTTTTGCAGGAGTATAGCATTAGTTCTAGTCAGGCGGCAACGTCGAAAGCTTTTGTTTTCCTTGACGCAAGATTCAAAAACTTTCCGCGACGATCAGGTATCGCAACTTTCCTATCTCGATCGAAACTTTGATACGTTTCGCACCGCGTTACAATTTCACGTGTTTTCTCACGTTAATGTTTTGTTCCCACGTATATTTTATCCTCCCATTGTTGTAACGACGCACCGCTGTGGTGTCTTGTAATATTTCTTACTTCTAACTCAAAAAAAAAAAAAAAGAAATACATTGCACAACATATCATGTGTCACTGAACTTGAAATAACACATGACCGAAAAGTTTGACTCAAATTTGTTCACTTGTGTTACAAGAGAGTACGTCAGATTTCAACTTACTGTTCTTCTTCTGAGCTACAATATCAAATCACACGTATTGTCTCAACACGAAAATCGTCTGATCAACATTTCGACGATCAAAAAAACCTCACGACCGGATGATATCGTTTAAGTTTCAAAAAACAAACTATTTCGAGCATTGAGAAACACGTCGGAAAACAACCTCTCGACGCGGTTGAATTTGGTCGACGGGTCGCGAGACGCGAATCGATCGTCGTCGAACTCCGGTCAAGAACCGGGAAACTCTGTCGTTTCGGGATCTATTCTCGACGTATCTCAACGCGCACCGCCGCGTCGCGTTCTTGGTTTTTGAAAAAAAACGTCATGCGATTTCCCGATGCAACATCTTCGTCGTCGTCGTCGTCGTCGTTGTCGTTGTCGTTGTCGCCGCCATCGCCCTCGTCGACGTCGTTCCCGTCGCTTCTCTCGCGTCGTCACGGTCGCGCCTGCGTCATCGACTTACTACGCGAAACGCACGCACGCACGCACGAAAGAGCCACCGCACACGTGCCGCGCGAGGTGCTTGCGCGTCCACGAGAGTCACATCGTCCTGATGCGACAATGCATGCGACCGGGTCAATGCGATGCAAAGTGCGCGCGGCGACAAAAAAAAAACGTCGTCTTGCTCTTTCGTGGTTGAGCAAACCTTCCGATGTGCTCGCGTTCGCTGCTTGAAAATCGTGAAAATGAATGTTTCTGGTCGTCGCTCCGGTAGACCGGCGAGACGTCGCGACGAAACGGGATGCTACGGAAACAGCATCGGGAGAAAAAAAAAAAAGCCGGGAGAACCGGGAGACTCCGGAGCGTGCAAAAGCTTCTCTCGTTCACATGCGCAGCTGGAATATCGTTTCTGACACGTCGTCAGGGCCGTACGATGGGGGATGCTGTTTTCAGAAATTTCATCATCCAACACACACAAAAGTCTATCAATTAAACAATATATTAATTTAATAAATATGACATTTTTATTTTTACATTACAAATCTTAAATGATTTGAATCGAATTCAAATATGCGGAGATAAATTTGAGATAAATCAAATATCTTCGAAATATTGTTTCTTTGATTAGCATATATTATTCTATTGTAGGTTACAGAAATATTCCATCGCGAGAAATGTAAAATAAGACTGATCTGTGGGAGTTACGCGTGTGTATCAAAAAAAGAACAGATAAAACAACAAGATTTACGTCTGTTGGAAGCGAGGGATGTAACAGTAGCTTTTTATTTTCGTTTCATTATCTCCGAGCTATAATAAATCTCCGCGTACACACACACACATACACACACAGCATTTTGTCGTCATAAATTGTTTCGGTTCGTTACAATCGCGCGCAAATTTATCTCAACACGTTCACGCGCTAATGATATTATGACGTTTGTTGATTCGACCAATTAAGCATTTCCACAACCACAATCTCGCTTTCGTTGACGCAATTATTATCGCCTCTCAGACACGTCGCGCGCAATGACACACTTTTACCAAAAACTACTTGCTTTCCGTTAATTTATCACAACTCTCCTATTGCGATAAGTAAGTATCGCGTCGCGGTCGAAAAATAAACGTCGCCCACAATAAACGTCAATGGAAAATCCAATTGAAAAGCGAAAAAGCGTGAACTTAAAGAGAGGCTCTTTTTTGTTGTTGTTGTATCCGCATTGTATCTCCTTCGCAGAAAAATGTACAAAAAAGATAATGACAAAAGCTAAAGCTGTGCATGCGCGTGCATTTTATTGCACGAGCGGAAACCGATGATATAACTAAGCGACATAAAAGCTAAACGTTTATGCTCGGCGAGGTTTTCCTCTTTTTTTTCTACTTTTGTTACACGGAATATTTATCGTTATCCGGCTCGTATATAAACTATAAAATACAAAAGCTCTCTTATATATATATATATTACAAGAGCTGTGGCAACTTTAGCTCCTATAAAATATCGATCTTCTATTCTCTCACGTAGAAAAACGACCATGGAAAAATTGCCTTCTCCCCCCTCCCCTTTTCGGGAGAAACGTCGTGATAAAAAAAAAAAAAAGAAAGAACACACTTGCAGTTTTATTTTTATCGCATTTTCTGGCCTGAATAAAAAGTAAGTTGAAGGACAAAAAGAAAAAAACAGCGCAAAGCTGAGGAAGAAAGATTTATTTATTATTTTTATAAAAAAAAGATTTATTGGCAAATTTAAGAAAAACTACAATTGAACACATTGAGAATTTCAATGCGTTATTGCGCGCGTTATAAATTACAAATAAACAAGCAGGCTATTCGATGACGGATTTTTTTTTTTTTTTTTTTTTTTAGCAGATTTACGACGACGTTTCCCGAAGAAATTCATCGAGATCGATGTGGCGTCGCTTGTTCGATTACGAGATTCATCTGTGAATCCCGCGTATCGCCGCGCGATCTCTACGACAATTTCCGAATTGTCATCGGTAATTTCCTGGCGCGAGATAATATTATGGGAGAGAAACTGGGAGAGAGAGAGTGTAGGGTATGTTATGTGCGCGCGGCCGTCACGATAACGATTATCGGTGTGCGTGCATAAAAAGCTCTCACACAGCTCTCTGTCGTTCGAGAAGTGGTCAAACGATACTCACCGCTATATAAAGTATCGATCTTCTGTCGATTGACATTGACACCTGGTCGCCGATATCACGGTTGCGATGCGATCACCGCGCGCGATTTTGTACCGATATAAACAACGGGATATAACCGCTGTCCCGGTTTTTTCTCATTTTCTGAGTCACTTGCTGGATGACTTCGTTTCTCTAATTTGTGTGACTGCAACTCTTTTCCCTCTCTCTCTCTCTCTGATAATTATAAAAATTTACATCTGCATTCTCGGTAAAATATTTCGAGTAAAACATTTGGATAATGTAATGTAAAATACATATAGATTAATATACACACAGTAATTTATCATTCTTCAGCTCGTTGCAATTTAATTGATGTAATTTTCATTAAGAAATTGAGATGCTTTGTAAATTACTATATTTCGAGACGCAACTTCAACGGGGCGTAACAAAGTTTCGTCTGGGTAATTTTTATCTCAAATTTTTTTTTTTTTTTTATTAACTGTACGTGTAACAAAAATTAGAAACAAAATGAAAACGGAGAGTTCTACAAGAAGAGAATAAAATCAAGTGCGTGTTCACGAGAGGACAGGTGAGGGGCTCAAACTCCGATGTTAAGAATGAATTAATTTAATAATCAATGTTTAAANTTAACGGCCATACAGAGCCAGTGCAGGATGTTGTGCAATAATTAAATAAATTAAAAAATTTATTTTAGCTTCAAAACGTTTCGACTTTTTATTGAAGTCCTCATCAATTGAATCAGGTTACAATAAAGAGCAATAATTAGAGAATTAATTTATTGAATTAATTTATTGTAACAAAAATTCGAGGCTTTCTGTGCAATAAAAAAATATCGAGATTCGCGCGATCCAGGACCTTCCTGGATCCGGTGATGGAAGATCGTGACACGTATCGCCTAGCTCGAAATAACTCGAATTATTTGTTTGTTTTTGTTTTCAGAAAACGCCCGAAAGAAAGTGAGAAGGAAAAACAAATTGCGCACACTTTCGAGAATCGAAATGTCTTGAGAGAGACGTGTCAAAAGATTCGATCCGTCTCTTCTTCTCATCGTCGTCGTCGTCGTCGTCCGGGTACCCCGCAGGTGTAACCCGCCAACGACAACGCGCGTCTAGTCACGGCACTGTCTAGTAGTAAGCGTTGACGTCAGCGGTAGGCGTGGCCTGCGATCGGCTCGCGCCGATAGAGGGATATATTTACCGCGCTCACAACTTTTCTCTCTCGTGCGCGCAACGCACAACTCGACGTAACGCGACGCGACGAAACGAGAAACCGGGAGCCTCCTCTCCGCGCGCGCGCGCGTTTTTTTTTTTTTACTCTCTTTCCTCCGAACTGACAATGTGTACATATTCGCGGCGCGGCATTCGTCGATCTCGAACGATGCGTCGCGCGGTTTACGCGACTTCCTCCCGGCGCTGCTGGGGTTGACACTCCTCAGAGTTTTTAAATCGTCGTCGTCGTCGTTATCGTCGAAGTGCACGGTGCGTGCAGAACGCTCGATCCAACGCGTGTGTTAGTATAATTTATTTCGCGGCGCGCAGCTTGTCGGCGGTGCGCTTTCCCCGAAAGGATCGTGCGACGAGAAACGTGATCGACGAGGAGCACAAGCCGCTGCTTCGGGAAGAATCGCGAGAGGGGTGGTGCAAGAGAAAAGAAAAACACAGCGAATGAAGAAGATAATCGACTGAGTTGCGAGAAGCAGAGACACAAACGACGAGAATAAGAAAAAGCTGTAGAGAGTGCGCGAGGTGCGGTGTGTGTGCCGTGTGCGAAGAGAACCTGAACGCGAGAGGCCAGTTGTTGGCGTGTGGTGCGGGCGCAGAGTAGTGTGTGCGAGTGCGTGCGGAGCGAGCGACGTGCGCGCGGCCGCCGCCGCCGCCGTCCGATCGTCGCGCGGCTGCCGCGGGTGCTGCTGCTGCCAGTGCTCGTCCGTCGGCGTTGTCGTCGCCGTAGGTCATTGTTGCCGTCATCATCGTCGTCGTTGTTGTCGTCGTCCAAGTACCAAAGTCAGTGCGGTGCCGCGCGACAGGTGCGCCCCTGTCACACATCTCCTCGTCATCGTCGTCATCTCTGAACGAACAAACACACTCGCGCAATCTGTCGATCGACGGTGCGGGGGATTCTCGCATCTCACGATAATCGCGCCCTCGGCGAGCCAGAGCGAGACCAGTTTTCCAGAAACAGTCGCGTCGAGAACACAACCGATCGTCGTCGAGAGAATGGCGGTCAGCGGCGTCCCGATTCTGCTCATCACCGCGAACGTCGGCAGCATCTTCGAGGAGGTAAATTGTGAATAACCGGTGCGCGATTGTTGTACGCGGGTACAATACATGTGCGTTTTCAATATATGGGTATACGTAGCGAGGCGCGGCCGGTCCCCCCGATCGATCGATCGCGCTCGTCGATTTTTTTGCACGATATTATTCGGCCGCCGCGACACACAACGACCTACTTGCCCGACGTCGGTCGGCGCCGATGCCGCTCTCCTCGTCTCGCTCGCTTCGGAATACCGAAGTTGTAGTCCGCGAATTTTCGTGTATTCGTGTATAGAGTATATATGTATATATATATATATATATATATATATATACATACGCATATATATAGAGTAGCCGGCACGCGCGCGCTTTCGTGCAACACGTGCCGATTGGTTTTTTGGCTGTTCGCGGTCTCGATATTCAGAAAGTCGAGATTTAAAAAGCCCGGTCTCTCCGTTCGAGTTGAAAACTCAACTTTCTTCCCCACGTTTGAAAACTTTTGTATTTGTTTCTTTCCTTCTTTTTGTCGTTAAATTAACGGACCGTGTTGATTTGTCGGAATTTGTCTCGTTGTTTATTTTGCAATTGATTCGAAGTTTCTCGAATCCGCGCGTGTTCGATAATATTTCGTCGCGAAATTCCCGGTTCGAAGAAAGGGCTTTTTCTCTCGGAACGTAACGTGCGATATTTTGAAAGTTGAAGATTTGTGTGCAGGACGATTTGAACTTTGATATTGCTGTATCTCTAAAAACATTTGTGATAACTTGCACATATAGTCACTTCGATAGTGTGTTTGCTTTTTTTTTTTCTTTTTTTTTTTTTATGTAATCGACACGTGACAAAGTTGATTATTGGATCAATTGTTGTAGATGTTTCTTATAACTGTTTCTTTTCTCCATTATTGTTGCTCGACGTCGCACTTGTCGCGTGTGTGTGTGTGTGTACGTTAAGGAACTTACGGATGCAATATGTAAATTGCCGTGTAATTTCTCGCGCGTAATCAACAAACTACTCGCGCGGTAATGTAATACCGCAAGATAAATCATTAGCGGAATTATGTAATTTTGCGAAGTTTGCGAAAGAGATTGTGTTTACAACATCCGCGACACACACACACGCGCGCGCGCAGTCGATGGGATCGTCGGAAAAGCGAAACGTTTATTCTCGTTGTTTTCCAACGGAACTGAGAATTGCGAAGAACTTTGCGAAAAATTGTTAACGTCAAAAAAAAATAAAAAAAATAAAAAAAAAATAAAAAATAGCCTCGCATTTCTAGAATATCTCATGTCTCACGTGCTTACTTAATTGTCGAGTTTTTAGAGCGCTCGCAGAGAGTATGCAAATATTTTTACACCAATAAATATCACGTGATATGTAAATTCCATCTCGGCGATTTTCTGGATCAATCCAGTTTTTCTAAAAAGAAATACGTTTCGTAAGAAAAACAAAAACAAATGAAACAAAAAACTTAAAAGTTGAAAAGAACGATTCGAGTCGGGCGCCAATGTAGACGCGCAATCCATTCGTCAAAGTGTCAATTATACACGCGCACTTTAATCGAGAGTTAATGTTCTAATTAATAATATCGAGGAGAGGATATTTCTGGATACACGCACGCCCGATATCGCGAAGGAAGGGATTGGGAAACATCGCGTGGCCGCGATACCGCGCGCTGTCGTTTCGCTTTCTCTCTCTCTCTCTCTTCTCTCCCTCTCTCTTTCTCTCTCTATCTCTCTCTATCTCTCCTATTGACATTTTGTTGATATTTCCGTCGTAGTCTAATTTTCTCGCGTGCTTTATCGGCTCGAACCACCTACGTGCTTCCTCTGTTTCATAGCTAGTTAATTTCGCGCTGTGACTATCAACGCCTATCAAATCGATTATCATTTGTCGATTTTGGCCATTCATTCGTGCGAAACGCGAGAAAGAAAGAAAAAACCACCGAGAGACGCTTTTATCGGAAGCGCGCAGGAGAAGAGGAGAAGGGTAAGGGGAGGGGGGAGGGGGGGAGGCGTGGAGATGCGCGAACGCGATATCGTCGATATTATCCTTGCTCTCGCGCGTGTGTTGTGACGTTAAACGGGATTCTATTAATACATCCACGCGCCGGCGAACATCTCATTAAGTTTTTTCTTTTAAGTGCACGAAGTATGAAGGATTACGCGAGATTGATATCAGTGATTTTCCTTGCAGCCTAGTGTCATGCTAAAGATATGGACGGAGGAATTTTTATCCGTAAGTATTATCTTTTGCGAGCTCTCTTCTCTCAAGCAGCGACGACAACAAAACGTTGTTCCGCGCGCGAGATTTCGCCTTTGCCGCCTTTGACGTATACGATTTTGATCAGACTTTTCGTTTCAGACAATCTCGCGACTGGATCCGAAGTTTATAGCGCTGCACTGCCAAGAAGTAGGTGGAAAGAATTACGAGCAGAGCATGAGACACGTTGAAGACTTTGTTAGGTAAATTTCGCATTTGTTGGTTTTCTCTTTTAATTTAGATTAGGGGGGAGAGCTCTCTTGTGTGCGACGCAATCGCGTTCTTCTGACCGATATATGTGCGCCTTTAACAACTTATTACGGGAATAACAAACAAAATTTACTATACAACTATCGTGGAGTAATTTTTTATTAAATGTCAGCCAGATAGCGAAGCGAGTTTGCGAAAGAATTTAAACTGAATTTAAAGAACACAAATAGCAACGCAAGGTATTAAAAAAAAAAAAAAAAAAGAGAGATTTTGTAGAGATATTTTCAGAGGTCGTGCTGTTATCTTATTAGTAAAGCTTCTTGGAAGGTTTCCACGAGTTGCGATATTCGGTTCTAATTAAATTATTGACAGAATTCTCTGTCTCGTCTGTTTAGACTCTTGTGTAAACTCGTTTCTACAAAAATATCACAGCGACGTCGTGTCTACGACAACGTTTTTTCATTTTTGACTCCCGTAAGGGATCAATGTTACGTCAACGGGATGGCCTTTGATATATATATATATATATATATATATGTATCAAACCAAATCTTATCCGTCTATCTCTCTCTTTTTCCATCGATATCGAGTATATATGCTTTATAACGCATAACCGACAGAAAGGGATAAAAATAGATGCATCACGCACGGGTCCGTGGTTGAGTGAGTCACTTCAAAAGATAATTTGATTGTATGATATCGACAGGGGAGAAATGCATGTATGTAAAAATGTACATATATGTACATAAAAAAAAAAAAAAAAAAAAAAAAAAAACCGTTGTTTGAAAAAACCTCTTTCTCTCTCGACGGGATAATTTTAAGGTCACATAAAGCGCATATAGATTTAAATAAAACCTGTATATTGTGTACAACTATTTTAACACATAATCACCTTGCACACACGAATGTTGTTTGCAGATTACTTATGTCGTCGGAGGAATTGAGGTTGTTCGACAAAATTAGGGTATTTCTTGACGAGGATTACTCATCCGCCGAACATTTCACAGTGAGTTTGCGAAACGCTGGCTTATATTGTTCGATTTGTGTTGTTTTGTCTTTTTGTCTTTTAAGCGCGAGATAATTAGTCTCACATCATCTCTGACGGGATCTGTTTTTAGGCCCTAGGAAATTTTTACTTCGTGCACGAGTCCTTGACCGATGTTTTGTTATGGGATTTTAATGGTACGTCGCGTATCATTTTTATATTTCAAATTAGAGCCTTGCCTTGCGCAAGAACGATATACGTTCTTTTTTTTTTTTTTTTTTTCTCTCTAATTACCTGTGTGTGATTATCCCCGTGTGCGATTTTTAGAGTGTACTTTTGTACCCGTAAACGGGAAGGAAGTGCATTCGGGCAACATAGAAGCGGTCACAACCAAAGAGAAAGCTAAGTTTCCTCAAGAATTCTTTCCCGAATGCAAGTGGTCCAGGAAGGGTTTCCTGCGAACGCGATGGTGCGTCAGCGGGACGATTTTTGATCTCATAAACATACATTTATTTCATGACGCGAGCAATTTCATTGCTATGGAGACGGTGAGAAATCTTTTTACGAGCGTTGTTGACTTTTACGCGCGTTCTGATCTATCTTTGATCTTTCTTGTATCTAACAAAAATTGTGTAATTCTCTCCTTTGCAGTTTCCATCGGTGTACAGTAAAACGCGCAGAAGAGCGCTCGAGCACACGTTAGATAGATTTCATAACGACAAGTATCCAAATGTGCCGTATTTTTTATTTGGTGACTTTAATTTTAGAACGGACACAGCAAGTGTAATAAAGGTGAGATACATCTTCGTCGGAGTCGCGATAAGATTTATAAATAAATAAATTGTGAGGAACGTAACGTGTATAAATTTTGGTTTAAATTCAGAAATTTATTACTGTTACGTTAGTCACGCGCAAATAAATTGACAACTAATGTTATTGTTAGAAGCAATCTATATGCTTAAATAGCATTCTTGTTTACGATCGCATTTCTGTGCGTTATACATCTGTTATATTACGTGTCAATCGAGAACGATGTGATATTAAAGTCCAATATATTACAGCACTTTAATTTGTCTTTAATAGAAACTAACAGAAGATACTCGAGAAAGGAGGTTATCGAATAAAGGAAATATTTCAAAACTACAGTTTCACAATAGAGACGACGATCTTATTTTAACGTTAGGGAAAAAGGAATTTTCACATCACGAGCATCAGAACGTTTTTATGAATAATGGCGGTGAATGGGTGAGTTTAATATCCGCTTATACATGTCGCATGTGTGTCATCTATCTGATATTATAAATTCATTTCAATTAAATCTCATATGAATAATATTGAATTAATGTACAAACTCTTTTTTTTTTTTTTTTTTTTATAAATGCAATTTATAACTATTACGCAACGATTGCGAATATATAATGCGAATATATAATAAATGTTGTTAATATTCACACGCAGTTGCGCGAGTATGACAAAGAGCTGGGGGACTTTGATGGAAGGCTGTTTGAGTTCCCGATCACTTTCGTGCCAAGTTATCCGTTTCAAGAGGATGTTAACGAGCCTATGAATTACATGCAAACGAGAGTGCCGGCTTGGTGCGACCGGGTTTTATTGAGTCCCTCTGCTAAGATGCTAGTCCAAGATGTATGTGTTCTCGTGTGAAATTTTATATATAATTTCGCGATCTATAACGCGGCGTTGGGATCCCGAAAGTTTTTGTGTTTTTTTTTTTTGGTCAGTCTAAAGCGATGCTCGCGTTCCTTTGTGCAGATAGATGATTCCGAGGCGATGGAGTACAGCATAATCGGCCCGACTACGTGCATGGGCGATCACAAGGTAAGATAACGGTCTTTCGATTTAATCGGTTATCGCTCACATTTTATACAAGAGACAAATATTGCGTTAGTTTTTATATTTATTACGCTCGGAACATGTGAACTTACACTTCCTAGTTCTTATTCTGATGATCCATTCTTTCAATTATTATAATGCAGCCTGTTTTTCTGGAGTTTCGAATGAATCTCTAAGCACTAAGGTACCTATCTATGAACTGTCTGTCTGTTTCTTCTTATCTCGACTCCCGCGCGCCCTCTCGACTCCCCCTTCCACACATCTTTCTCACATCTCCTTTATATTCTGTTGGCATTTCGTTATCTCGGTAAGAAACACATAGGGGTTTGCGTTTTACTGTAGCGCATCATCACACGTAGTATCTCCTACAAGTATTTTATTCTATACATTTTTTTTTTAAACTTATTTATTTATTTATTTATTTATTTTTTTGAAACTTATTGTTCTCATCTTCATCATCGTTATTAACTGTACTTTTTCAATCTAGTTGCAAAACCATGCATTGACAATGCTTCTTGCATCTTTCGTGTGTTTTTTACAAAAAATGTTTGAACAACTTTACCTCATTATTATATCATGCAGAACGCAAAAAATATTTCGACAAAAACGCGACGATATAAATGTCACATACAACTATTGAACATATAAAATGTTGAACATAGACCGTGCACTTATACATAAAAAAAATATATATATATATTTACAGATATAAAAACTTTTTTTTATTGTGTAGCAAATTTATATTATTTTGCTTCGTAAAATATTGTTTGAAAAAATTGTGTCAACAAACTTTGCAGATTGAAAAGTACATCATTACGATACGTCGTTCCTCTTTTGAATGAGAGAAAAATTAGTTATTGTTTCCCCTTCTCTCCTTTTATATAGAATCTCACAATACGAGTCCTTCACATAGCGCCTTATCGTTCTCTCGCAGTGACGCACGATAATACATAAAGGTCCGTTACTCTTTTTTTTTTTTACCATTTACAGCCAGTCTACTTGAAGGCTAATCTCATCTCGGACGCAGGTATGATAGACTGCTGCAGCTTGTCACGTGTAACTGAGTTTTGCTTCCGAGTGCCCAACAATTATCTGGAGTTGTTGTCCATGTTGCCTGATTGCAATAGTTATGCTAACGCGCGTGCGAATTCTGTTGATCGTTCGTCTAATCTGTTGCACGCAGTACCCGTTAAGCATGATCCCTACACACCAGATAGTATGGACAGTCCGAGTCCGAACGCGCTTATTGCGTCCGGCGAAGTTCCGGATCTCGATGCGGATCATCTCGACAGCAACAACACCGCCGGCGGTGACAGCGTGTCGCCGGTGCCGCGATCGATTCACGCATCGATCACATCGAGACGACACGTCGATCGTGCCGTGTCGCCGGCGCTGTTGAAATCCCGTCTGGAGTTAATTGTCCAGAAATCGAAGAGCCAGAACGACACGGAACTCGAGGTTGACGCCTCGGACATCAAGCGCAGTCCTAGCGAATGCCATCTGCGTTCTTGGCCGGACGTCGAAGAGCCACAGTGGTGCGTGAGAAAAAACAGATGCAACAGCGACTTGTCGTGGCAACGTTCCCACGTTCTGACCCACGCCTGGATCCAGGGCAAGAGCCAGCAGGGTTATCACTCTTTCAGCAATTTTGGCAATCGATCATCCTCGAACTCGAGTCCGGATATGGTTGACGGACTGCCGCCGGCAGATCTGATCATTCCGCGTATCGCTATAATAAACGCGAGCAACTTCGAATCAAACGAGAGCTCTGTGTACTTCCACGACGATCGGTTGAGCAATTATTCGGAGAATAAGCTGAGCGCGTACTCGGACGGACGTACGAAGACTCTGAGCGGCGAAGGTGTCAGTTCGGACAAGACAGACGAGGAGGAAAGCAACAGACTGAGCCTTAGCACGGAGAGAATAATAGAAATTGAGGAAAACAAGTATTCAAAAGGTCACAATAATCCCGGCAAAGAGCTGCGCTTCGAAAAAGAAGACGGCAGTGAATTCATTGACGAATGCGACATGTGCAAGGAAACGAAGTGTCAGATGGTGGAAGTGCAAGCTCTCGTGAGAAATACGTCCTACGCGATGAATGACGCCGTTCTTAATAGGACGAGTGACAAATCGTTATTGAATATTTCAAATAGTCCCGTTCTCCCCGTTCTTGCGAACGAATCCCGTCTCAAAGACGAAAACTTGCGACTCGCCGAGACGCAGCTGACGACGGAAGGACAACCGAGTTCTCAGGCATCGCGGATTAACGCGAACAAAGCCGGCGCGAATCCGAACAAAAAAACGAGCGTAAACTCGGAGTATCCGAGAGATCAGGATTGCGACAGCAATGTGATAAACGTGTACTCGGACGTGCACGCGGATCATGGGCTGAGTCACGACGCGGAGATCGTAAGCTGCGAGAACAAACAGAGAACGTACACCTCGATGGACACGACGAGAAGCAACTCGGCGCAGGATATCAGTGATCACGCAGGAAACGTTAGATTAAAACTGAAAGCTTACAAGGTTACTGAACGATACAAGAGCGATATTATAAGGAGGCGGACTAGGTGTAGAAAATGTTGTTGCGTGGTGTCGTGAAGATGTTTGTTTGTTTTTTTTTCTTTTTTAGTCTGCATTTTAGAATCTATGTGTATATATGCGTAAACGATGTTCCTTGTTTATATTTATTGATACCGTTGCATCCCCGCGTCGAATCGATAATCTCTTCTGCCGGAAATTTATTGCGCAGATGCGTCTTCTCGTCGCGGAATAAAACTGTTGATGTTCTCCGTTCTAAATTTGGCGCGGATGCAGCGGTATGTATCGTTGCCAGCCGATCGGGACAGGGTGGGGAGGGAGATATATATCTTCGTTTTTCCACTTCCATAGAGTATTCCTTTAATAAGCTCCACTCCGCTCTCCCTTGTCCTTCGTCTGCTATTCCTCTCGACATGCTAAGTAACGATCGAATGATCGACAGCGTTTATACGCGTCATCGCTTAGTGTAAGTCAAATAATTTATTTTATTTTATTTTCTTTTTTGGACACAATGTGCGTAAAGTCGTTTAGTGCGATTTTGCGTCTACGATTTTTCGAGAATCATTGACGTGTAATCGCTTTGAGGAATCGAAGACGAATATAGAGAGACGCTTCGTGTATAATTTATTATTGTCGAAAGAAACTCTCGATGAGAAGTTTCGACGCGACACAGAAGAATGCAATTTTTATTTACTTGCGTTTAGCGCGCAATCGTGAGATACGAGTATTTCGTTGTACTATATATATACTCCACTTGGCATGTCGCGAGAGCCGACACCTCGATGTGTGAAACAGCCGCGTCTTGCATGTGCATGCGGTTACTCTCGACGTTCCGCGCATATTTCTTAGAAAATGTTCCGCCCCCCCCCCTCTCCTTTCCCCCATCCCAGTGATATACGAAACTGTGTGCGTGTTTGACGTTCCCCTCTCCCCGTCGTGTAGTCGTGTAATTTATAATCGTCAGTATGATCACGGTTACGTAATCGCACGTTATTTAGAGCGCGTGCGAATTTGAAGATAGTGATATTAGAGCCACACTGTACACAGACAAATACGTACAGACTGATGTAAAATCGTTACCAGTATACAAATACGATGCACTTATATACGCGAGCAGTGCTATAATAATTATTCTCCCCTATTACGTTTTTAGTTTGTGCAAAAAAGTCGCGGTCCCCCGTTATTATTCCCGATAAGATTGTTTTAATATAATTTTGTTTTTCACGCGAAAGTTTATATTACCTCGCAATGTTCTTGTCGTCGATAATTTTCTCTTACCGTTCGCGCTCGTACCGGACGCGATATTGTTGTACATTCTTTTATTGTCAATTCGTTCTTAGATGAATTTAAACCGATCGCGTGTGTGCGTATAAATTATTTTATTTATTACACGTGTGTGAGATCGTCGTTGTGTCCTCTCTCGCAATTGAAATAGTATTCTCGTCGTGTGTTGTTTCAACATTTTAACACACACACACACCGTGTCATCTCTTCGTTTGTTAGCGCGAAAGGATGTTATGGTGATATCGCAAAACTCGTCTCACAATGTTACGTTTCTCTTATTTTATTTTATTTTATTTTTTTTTATTTTTTTTTTTTTAGAACGTTACATACGATCGTATCGTATCGTCATACGTATCCGCGCCCTTGCCAAGGAGAGCTCTTATTCGTCGAATTTTTTACGAGCACGCTCGGAGTAGACTACTGCCAAAGTTAGATTCGTTGTAACTTGTTAAGTGAGAAGATTATTAATTTATGTGACGGATGTCGGTCGCGCGAGAAACGACAGACGAAAAGAAGAAGACAAATAAGAAGAAGAAGAAGAAGAAGAAGCGATTAAGGAGAATTGTTCCGTTTATTTTATCGTTGTTATTGCATCGTTGACGATCGTTCGGGAAAAATGTCATCGAGAGAGAGCCTCACCGTCGGTTGGTGTTACGTTATGTACACGAGCGAACATGCCATTACTTTAGTTATTCAAGTCGTAAAAAACACACATGGAAAGTCGCGTCAAGCCGCGCGCGAACCGGAATGGACATTTTTTTTAAACCGAAATGAAGAATTTTACCAAGAAATCCTCGGCGAGGAGAACGCGAAAGATATTCTCGAGCTTTACGTACTTGCGAATGTTGGCGCGCGTTGTTCCGCGCACCGCGTTTTTTTTTTTTATTTATCAGTGCTGCTAATTAACAATCGCCATCTGCGATCTGTTTCGTGAAAAAGAGATCGAAGACGCGAGAGCACGTTTAAAATTGTGTGAAAGTGATAAAATTATTTCACTCAGGCGGGCGAGCGTTGAGGAGAGATTGTCAATTTGCGCATTGATGAATCTTGAGCTCTTTTATATATATATATATATTTTATATATATTTTATCGATCTTATCCCGCCGCGCTTTAGCGAGAAACGCGACGCGCGGAGTAACGTGACCGATGATGATGATCATGATTTTGAGAAGGTATTCGGTTTCTGGAAACAAACGAAATTAACTCGTTTGCTTTTACGTACAGCGAACTTGCAAACCGATAACGCGCGTTTTTGCTTCTTAGCGACAAAAGATGATTTTGTAAATTTTCATCACGATGTAAATATTTCACACGTTGGTGATAAGAAAACTAAGAAAAATATACATAAAAATAAATAAGAGAGTAAAATATAGCCGTTTGTCAAAATATAGCCATTCTCGCGATGATATTTTACTTCATTATCTTGAGATTCTCATGTGATAGCGATAGTTTTCTTACATCAGCGAGTACAGCATCAAAATGAACGAAAAGTCTTTTTTTTCAGTCTTTGTGAAGAAGCATGAACGCAAAAATATGAAATTTGTTGTGTGTAATCGCACACAGGATATGCGTTAGCGCGTTACACGCGACAAGAAGCAACGCTCTGAAGAGTCAAATCAACGTCTTGCTCTCATGGAAAAGCAGCAAAATGATTGATGACACCGTCTCGCGTCTCTTCTGGTCGCGCGTTACGCTTTTGACACCCGCTCTGTGAGCGGGGACTCGTAAAAGTGCCGCACGAACCAAGCAATTTTTCAAACGGTTTTGAAACTTCGAACTTTCGAGGATATGAGAAAAAAAAAAATTGCTGAAATCTGCTGAAAGTTTTCGGACGAATACCCTCTCGAACTCTGTACTTCTCTGCGTTCGTTGAAGACGAACGATTCGCAGCGGGATCCGCGCGAGGAAATCTGCCGCTTCTGCATTATCCGTCAGATTCGCGAACGCGCCTTGTCAATCGAATCCCATTTTTGCCATATTAGTTTTTAAAAAGCGACGAGGGGAATTATCTGCGCGCCGAGCCGCAGTTTTTCCAGATTTTTTCGCTATTGTACTGCATTTGTTCGTTTTTATTTTCCGTATCGCGACAGGCTGACTATAGAAAACTGTATAAAAACTTCCCTGTCGTTTGTATAATATCGTGTAAATAGCTCACCGACGAGATATATTACACACATATAAAACACACATCATAATATTGCTTTATTTTATAAATATATAAATTTATTTTTCGTAACACGTGAAAACGCTGCTTCCTTTATTTTGTTCCTTCAGTTTCATTTCAATGTTCTTTTTTTTTTCTCTCTCATTGCGGATACGCTTCTTGTTGCCACGCAAAGTGATTAAAATAATATTTTTGATAAAGCCGCCGCGCGTGCGCGCAGCGTGTTTCCTCTTATTTTATCTTTATGCATTGTGCGATTGCTAAAAAAAGAAACCTACGAGAGAAAAATATTCGGACATGCTTTGAATAACACATCAGAAGATAAAAAAAAAATTGTAAAGTCATATGCAAAACAAATTTATGTAATTTGTTTTTATTTCTCGAGATTTCATTATTTTGTCGGGAGTTCAGCTCGTAAGAGGTGATAATATATCTTGCGCCCCGAAGTGGTGCGCAATGTGCTCTTTGTCGAAATTTCGGTTCGTTTTAAAACATTTCTAAAAATTGTTGAATATTATTTTGCACACCTGTGTGTGTGGTAATCGTCATTTCTAAAGTTACATATTTATTGCTGCGATATTTATCGCTTAATATGAATTTAAAAAACGGTTGTCTCGTGTCAACTTTATCGAGGCGTTTTTACTTCGATACTGAGATCGGTCTCTTTCGTATGCTTAAACCGAAAACAGCTGAGTGTCGCTAACGTTTATCTTAATGTGTGTCACAAGCGTTTGCAAATGTGTTAATTGCTACTGAATGGTGACTTTGCCGCACTTCCTTTTTATCTCAGGTACTTATCGATTACCGTTTCATATAGTGTGTGCGTGCGTGTGTGTGTGTGTGTGTGTGTGTATGTATTTTGATTTAATTTTACACTCCGCACGTTTTATGCCGCACTTTCAATAACCATCGCAAAATTTTCAATCGTGGGTCGCAGTACGGCAGATCTGAGAGAGAAACACGAGAGCGTGTAAATTTATAATCCATTTTTGTTATCTTAATTTTCTTGCGTATATACTGCATTTATTTATATATTTCAACATACATTAGTTCTTTCGATTTTTACAATATTTACACAAGTATTGCACATATAGAAAACAATTTTAATTACAAGAGATAATATCTATATAGTCTCTATTTATAGTAATAGGCTTCTTTTTACGCTTTTTAATTATTCAACGCAATTTAATGCAATTAGTTATACTAATTTGATACAAATTTGCATTTTTTAATATAATTTTACAAATACTTTTCTTATTTATAAAAACTCTTCAACAATGTAATTACGTGTATGAAATTTTTGCTTTTCACTTTTTATCTCTCACATATATATTGCTTTGATATTTCTCTTCTTAAATTGCTTCGAGTCACACTCTCTCTCTTGTTTATTTATTGTGCCATTTCTTGCGAAATGTGAAACGAAATTTACAATCGCCGACGTTGCGGCGGGTCGTGGTGCGATTGTTCAGCAAAAAAGAGAAGAGACACGGTAAGCATTGTCAAACATCAAATGGATGCATTTGTCTCTGCGATCTGCGCTGCTGCGTCTCTCTGTGAGTGCAGTGTCGTTAACCATGTGTACCTTTTAGCGCACTCAAGTTTTACGAGAGAAGCTTACATTAGTGTGAAAAACGCAAACATGCACTTGTTGTGCGCGTGTTTGATAGCTTGTGATCCGTCTGTGATAATATATCTGGGTTTCTTACTCGGATATTATCCGTATGGTTTTTATGTGTCTTATCGTATCGCTGTTCGATGTTGTAGAAGAGAATATTTCAACAGATATATATTTATATATATATATTTTCAGATTGATATATTGAAAAATTTTTATCATCGTTTCGCGTATCACGTTGATTTGTATTTTTTTTTTTTAATTTTTTTTATCAAGTTTTCGAATACGTGAGACGACAATAAAAATTAATCGTCGGAAAGAAAAACTTGTTGAAAAATTTCATTTTTTTCGAGAGAGAGTAAAGCAATAAGATTTGTACAAAGTTTAAAAAAAATTGTAGAAATTATTTTCAAAATGTTTTTTACGAACGAAGATTTGTGCTCGCGCGCGCGATGTGTGTCAAATTTCTGTAGAAGACGGCGTCGCGAAATTACGACGCGTCGATGTGTACACAAGGGCTTCTTGCCAGCAAAATGCATGATAACAGTTGTCACTTAGAAGGATATCATTCCTGGCCGCAGAAACGGCGAGGGAAACGCAGGAGACGGAGGAGGCGAGATCCGGGCTGAGAAGCAGTGACGTATTCAACGGTATTAACAACAATAACAACGCCGTAAGAACGATAACGAGATACGTGCACACCAAGCACGCGAACTCACCGGTGAAGATCTTTCGGGAAACGATGGTTTGATGAACATTCGTGCCCCCTCTGATGATGACGTCGCGTCGCAAATTCCGCAAATCGATTATTTGATCCTTTCGATATCTTTTATCCATGTAAAAAATCACCTTTGACGCTACTTTTGAAGATCAAAAAATATTAACGCGCGAGAAGAAATTATACATAAAAATATTAAAACTATGAGACGTATGTATATTTATTCCGCCGAGTTAATTTAACTTTTTATTCATTTTCGATTTTTTAAATTTACATTCTAAGGCGATCGAATTGCGGTAGCTCGCAATTTTGTTTGCATTTTGCTAAGAGAGAATTTATGTACGTACATATGCAATATTTGGAAAAAAAATTTATGGTATCGAAGGAATCAATCGCAACGGCTGAGATTCGCTGTTAATGATGAGCGATGAGAGAGAAAAAAAAAGTGACGAGTTGTGACACGCTCAAGCAAGGTCTCAGCCGCGCGACAGTATATATTAATCCGATCCACTGAATATTATATCGCGAATACACTGAAGCAAGCTACATTCCATTAGCGTAATCGGCGAGGAAATTTGCAAGCCAATCACCGTGCTTGCGGCTGCAAGCTCTGTGCCCTTATAATACATTACGTAATAATTAAGAAATTGCAAAGGGGCTGTGCAGAACTCCAAATGACACATACACGAATAAAAATGTGTGCGAATAGACATCTAAAAGACACTCTGAGATACTTCGCCGGATTTTTTTTCAGACAATTTTTAGATGTCTCTCATTCGACGGTCGATATAATCGAGAGGCGTAAACTTCAAAGAGAGAGAGAGAGAGAGTAACTGTAAGGCCACTTTTGTGTGTCTCGAGTTTAATTTTTTTTAACTCTAAATTATTTTAACATAATTTCAGAAAAAATAGAATTTAATCTTGAGGAAGCAAATTGGCCAATGTGAGCCTAGGCACGGTTAACGGGTGTGTCAAATTTTGTAAATTATTTTTATTCAAAAAAAACGTTTTACGTTTCGATCCCCGGGTGGGATCATCTTCGGAAATGGTGTACACACAAAAAAAAATCACAATTAAATTTAAAAAGTCATTAGACTCGCTTAGATGTACGTCAGAGACGTGTTAACATGACGAAAAAATAAGTTCAAACGTGTTGTTGTTCCTCTCACTGTTGTAACAAGAGAACCTAATCTCTTTGCAAACTTTGTATTTAAGGACGTTCTCCGAATTATTGATTTTCTTAGGATTTTCTTTAAATTTGCGATATACATAGTACATGATATTGCGATATATATAGTTTATGATCTTATTTATATACGTAGCCTGTTTGGATAATAGGGGTAGCGATGTTAAATTCCAAAATATGAAAGATTTATATTTCAATTTTTAACGTGGATTTCCTATGCCGAGCCTTTGTGAAAAGTGGGGTTTTTTAAAATTACTGACGACGAATTTTCTTAGAATTTTTTTAAAAAACAAGTATGTGGTAGTGGAGAGTGTCCTAATTAAAATACAATTTTGAATAATATGGCAAGCAACCCTTTTTTCAAACCGTAGCTTTTTTTGGTTTTTTTTTTTTTGGTTTTTTTTTGTTTTGCTGGATTTATGTGCGCTGTGTACCGCAGCTATTTTTGAACTTCTGCGCAGAGTAAGCGGGTCTTAGCTGAATAGCTCAACTTAACTTCGTTACAGCAGTACAAACTTACTCATGAGAAGAGATATTTTAGGTTGCTAACCACTGTAGTCGGAGAACGTCCTTAATAATTTATTCGAACAGAATAAATTCAGCTTGTCAAGGAAAAAAATCACGAAAGTAATTTTGAAAAAGAAGTAATCGTGAAAACGAACATTTTTATCGTTTTTTTTTTGATCGAACATATACACGTTTAAAGCAAAAGTGACTTTTTTATTCTCTACAGTTACCTGAAAATCGCGTTTTTTGCAAGTGTCAAGTTCACGATATACAATATATCGCTGTTATTTTTAACCAAGATCCTCTGAGAGAGCTTCCTTACTTTTTTGCCAAAGACGTTTTATATAACGCACCACAAAAATCCTTTTCACTGCCCTCCGTTTTATTCGCGCAGACCAAACATTTCCGTATATATATCGTATACGTGTGTTTGTTATCGATGCACGTAAAATCTCGCTGATCTTCCTCAACAATATTTTTTGCGACATTATACGTATATATATACGCAATACGATTACGTGTTACGCATATACGATGTGTGTAAGCACTGTGTATTTGTAAGTGTAATAACAGATGTTTGCGGAGCAGATCTCCGGATATCTCGCGTGTTTCATTAGCAGTTTCTGCGCTCTCTACGCGCCGTTAAATTCGTTAGTACTTCCTGTAAATGGAAATGTGTGTGCGTCTTCAAGTACAACTCTCTTGAGAGAGATATTCTAATCATTTCTATAAGATTATATATATATATTATATACCTCGCGCGCACTTAATTTTCTATAATTCTACAAATTAATTAATTAACATATTTATATATATCGTTATATATAATTGTAACGCGTTCGATGTGTAAAAGTAATGATAATTTCGTCGGAAGAGAAAAATGCACTCGGAAGGAATATTATTCAAACATTGATCAAGATACCTTGTCGGTACGAGAGAACTGCATTGTAGGATGATAACAGCAATAATCTTCCAAAAAAAGAAAAAAGAAAAAAAAAAGAGTATCGCACTTTGTGTGCAAGAGAGAGAGAGAGAGACTATTTCGATGTGGACTTGACGTTCTCGGGAAGGAAATAAATTATTTTCATCTCTCTAGCACGCATACCTCTTCGCCATTACATATCCGCGTTCTTTCGTGCGTCTTATACGTATAAAATATTACAAAACACCGATGTCATCTAGATTTATAAGATAAAATATTACGACGGGACTTAGGAAATTAATAAATAGGAATTTAAGCGCGAAGTTAGAATTATATTATAGTCTATGAAAAAATATTCCAAAAATGTTCCGCGGTGAAGACGTGAAAGATTATTCTCTCGCGAGTCCGTTCACATTCGCGATTCGCTGTGCCAATCCGTTCCATCTTTAGAATTTTGCACGTTTTAATGGTAAGAAACGTTTTTAAACTCGCGCGGGCGAGACGGTCGTTGTGCGCGAGTGAAAGTGTTTTGCGAAAACACGCACTTCGTATTTGGAGATCCGTTCGTATTTAAAAAAAAAAAAACAATCGTTCTCACAAATGTCACTTGGAAAAAGTTAAACTGTAGTTTAAACACGATTCTTCATCCGTTTTTCTTTTTCTTGAAAAAAAAAAAAAAAGAGACGAAGAGATCGAACGTTTACGGGAGCGATTTGGGAGATGTGTGATGGGGTTGCTGATGTTTTTCTATCGGATGAAAATAATCGTTCGGCAAAAACATCGCGGTTTTACTGGCAAATTTCGTCGTGTAGCTGCTTCTCCGTCTTTCGAAGTACGTGTGTGTCGAGAATACTCTTATCATTCCACGGAAATTAGATTTATTAATTCGGTCGATGTGCTTACTATCTTTGTATTGTGTAGATTCGTAAGAAGCTTCTTGCGCTCCGCTCTGCGTATGGAATTTATCAGTAAGCAGGATCTCTTTCATTATTTTTGTGTCGTTATAGTTAGAATAATAATTCTTAAATAAGTGCTTCTCTCTGTACGATGTCTCTTCTCTTTCGAAATTTTTTGATTTCTGAAACGAAAAAAAAAAAAAAATCCAAATTCCGAGAATTGCGCTTTTGACGATAATCGAACTATACGTCGCTCTTATTATATAGATTCTAATCTTTCGCCGATTAGCGGCTGTCCGCTTCTCTCTCGGCCTTTTGTTCGCAAATGCGAAAGAATGGGTTCTTTTTTTTTGCCGCGAACGAAAAGCAAAAGAGAAACGAACGGAGCGATGTTCGGTTCTGTATGTATAAATGTGTGCGATGGAAATTGCGAACCTCCGTTTCCATCGCTTTCGCTGTACGTTGTTGAACTCTGATGTATATGTTGTTGGACGTAACGATAAAATATAAAATCTTAAGTGTCACGTGATATACAATATTATGTATATTATAAACCAGAAGCAGGGGTAAAAAAAGAACTAACGAGGATCTTCCCGCAACTTTATATCAAAAAAAAAAACAAAAACAAAAACTCTGCGTTCCACGAAAATCTGTGCACGGAACAAGACAAGAAATCGATACTCCCAAAGCGTAACAATTAAAAATTATCGTGTTTCACTTTTTCATCGTCTAAGTAGTCACTATTGATTAATGTTTGTTGTTTTTTGTGTAATTCTCTATTTGTAATATATATTGCGCCAGAGAACGTGTTTGAAAACACATTGAAAGGTTCGGGAGAAATATGTTTTGAATTGTTTCAAGAACAAAATCTTAACGTCAATCTGTGCGGGTTTTTTATTCTTCTTTTTTATTCTCATTTGAGGAAAAAAAATTGTCAGATAATTCGTGACACTTGTGCAGTCGATTATTTCTCAAAACGATATGAGAGGGAATCGTTTCTTGCTTCGAGGCAAGGTTGATGTTGTACTTTTATAAATATATATATATATATATATATGTATATATATATATATATATATATAATNTATATATATATATATATATTATATATATATTATATATATATTATATATATATTATATTATATATATATACACGTACTTATATATATATTTTGTACTGATGGGTACTTGAAATCTCTCGCGCGCGATATTCGACGAGATGAAATTACATATATATTGTACGTGTTCCATGTGATTATCGTGATGTCTATAAAACGGTGTCGTTCGCGAAATCGCGATTAGAAAGAGAAAGAGAAAGAGAGAGAGAGAGAGAAAAAAAATTTCGTTGACTATTATTTCTAAGATCGAAGCGAGCGGATTCATTTCATGTACCAACGTTGTAGGACAGAAAATAAAATTACGATTCCACACATGGCGTTTAGACTTTTCTTTTCGATCGATATCGTAAGCGCAATTCCGAAAAGTTTATAAATGCTGCGTCCCGAGAAAAAATGGATTAGATCTAACTTAAATTTAACGAGAGATAAAAAAAATAGAAAAATAGATCTAATTAGATCCAGATTAAATCTAAATAGATATAAATTAGATCTAAATAAATATAAAGTAGGTCTAAATAAATATAAGTAAATCTATGAAAATTTACACTTTTATTTATTATTAGATCTATTCTTGATCTACTCGGATCTATTATATTAGATCACCTCAGATCTGTTAAGATCTGCTCAAATCTAACTAAATCTGAGGAGTTTTAATTATAGTAGATCCGAGTAGATCTAAAGTAGATTTAATAATATATAAAAGTGTAAATTTAATAAATCTGCTTAATATTTATTTAGATCTACTTTATATCTATTTAGATTTAATTTGGATCTAATTAGATCTATTTCTCCATTTTTTTTATCTTGTTAAATTTAAGTTAGATCTAATCGATTTTTTCCCGGGGGTTTTTTTACGATATTTACGTACGCGTTTATTTAAATTTCTTTTATTCTTAATTAAGTATTGATCCCCCCCTCCCCAACATATAACGTAAGCGTGAGAGATTTTGATTTTTTTTGTCGACCTTCTTATGTCGGATTATCATTTGTCAAGAGCTTTGTATCATATTTTCGTCAGCGGGTAAAGGACGCAACATCAAATCCAGGCTCAACGCCATCTAACGCATATATATTGGCTGACGTTCGGCAGAATGAAAAGAACGTTAGATGGCGAGAGTATCTCAAAGCTAACCGTTTCGCAAATTTTTGTTGTGTTTCGACAAATTGGTTAAATCAGCCGGTGCTAAACGATATAAATAAATACATATTGTACATATTAAACGGGAGATATACAAAAACGTTAAAAAATGAGCAAAGCACACCCGCCAGAACTCAAAAAGTACGTAATCTTTCACAATTATCTGAGTTTAATCACGTGCACGTAATATTTTTTTTCCATGAGTTATTTTCTACATTTCAATGTTTTTCTGTTTATTTTCAGATATATGGATAAAAAGCTGTCTCGTAAGTATTAGAAAAATTAAATTGATCTATGTATAATTGCATTTAAATGAAAGAAATTAGAATTTTTGGGTCGAATTTTGTAAAGAGGTTAAGATAGTTACATATATCTCTCAAACAAAACAACATGAGAAGTATTACAACATTTTTCTTTTTTTAGCAATTTATATAGAATATATAATAACACAAACATACTTTTGATAAAATATTTTCTATTTATGTAATCTCATGTATTAATTTTTTTCACATATAAGTACATGTGGTTTGTGTACGTAATGATGTGTAATTCACTAAAACATAATTTTCTGATTGTCTTTTATGCTGAAGTACTTATATAAAAGCATCAGCAATTATTCTTATATATATTTTTTTTTGCACAACTTTTATTTGAAATATCTTGCAGTAAAATTGAATGGAGGTCGACTTGTTGTTGGATTATTGAGAGGTTTTGATCCATTTATGAACATGGTTATTGACGAAACTGTCGAGGAATGCAAAGATGGCACCAAGAACAATATTGGAATGGTGGTATGTTATATTTTGAGATCAACAAAAGAATATGTAGGTTACATAAATCGTGATATGGTATATTACAATATGATTTTCATAGATTAACTATTTAGATTATTGTCAGACAATATTTATTATTCCACAATCTATTATCACAGTTTAAGGAATTGGATTTTTATCACATTGTATACTTCTAGGTAATTCGTGGCAATAGCGTCATAATGTTAGAAGCCTTAGACAGGATATGAGACATGCTTTTTTGCCATCTTCTGTATTTGATATATACATTTATAAGATATCTTTAAACAAATAAAACTATTCTAAGATGTACAGATGTTTTGTTCCATATTTTTTTTCAACATAACGAAAAGAACAACTTTTGCTTATGTTTGAATAACTATTACAAAAAATGATTTACACTTGATATAAAATCAATCTTTATTAAACATTATGTTTTTGTAATCAGTAGTAGAAATAAAATTAACAGGAATTGCGATATTTACATTTAATATATTTTACATTTTATTAATATATACACATAGGGCAAACAAGCAAATTTCAAGAATGACAAATATTATTATTAAATACAATTCAATAATGAATATAATTGACTTAAGGCTTTCGGACACTTTTGATGCACAATGATTAATTATTAATCATTGAATTATCAATTGAAAACTTCTTTGCCCTTTACACAACAGAAATCAGCATCACACACACACACACACACCATACAAATATCTGTAAATCTTAATTAAATCACTGTAAAACTTATTTTTTTCATTGAATATATAATGTGTAAAGATATATGTAGATTTATCATCAATGCAGAATTCTAAAGAAATGCGATTTTGGCACATTTTACTAATTTACACTATTGAATGCCAACAATGGCGCGTAAAGAAAAAATTATTTTGGATATAAATTCACAGATTAAATAAAAAAGACACTCTAAAATTTTTACACATTTAATACAGACTATTGTTTTGAAATGTGTTTATCAATATAACTTGATTATGATTTCCACCTCACAGACTTTTATCACGATGATATTTATTGTAAGAGCTTTGTGATTTGTGAAATATGTAAAGCAAATTATTTATTACACGGCCTCACAATAAAAAATGTATATTTTCCCATTTTTTCAATCTGTGAAGAATTTTATTTTATGCGCCATGGAAGTAACATTGTTGCACTTTATTCGTTTTCAATTTAAATTCTGAATCTCGCAAAATATTTGTCTTGTAAGCATGTGCGCCCTTATGTGTGAAAGATAAGATATATAAATTGCTAAATTGAGACTTATTCAAACTATATAACGACGATATAATCCAAGTTTCGAGCAACAATTTATATTCACAAATACGACTAATAGCAAAGAAAAATACAAGAAAAATCGAACGCAGAACGTGTTTCCAAACAAATTTCACTTTTTATAAACGGGACTATGTTTGTAAAAATATAAAATATGTGGCTATATAGTAGGTGAAATATTTCAGAAGGCACTCAATGTGTGTGTTTAATCGATCTTTCATAGGAACGTAGTTCCCTTCTTGATAAATAGTAGATGCGTGAGATATCGCACACAATAAAATATTTTACGAGACAACTTATAACGCGTTTTATAATTTTTTTTTTTTTTTTTTTTTTTCTAGCAATAGGGCAGAGCACATATAGAATGTAGTAAAATATTTCACAACGCTTGCGTAACGGGATGACGTACAAACATCGAAATTTTACTTGCGATGTTTGTACGTTTCGTGCCCGATTTCTTCACCTCTGATAAGTTCTTGATAACTTTATCCGAAAGATAAAGTATATTTTTTCGTGTATCTCTATCCAGAGGATAACTATCGCGGGAGGTATAAAGAAATCGGGTATCATTGATATATAGCTAGCGTTTTCTCTCTTCCCTCCTTTCGAAAAAACAATTCATATATCCAATATGAAAAAGTATGACTAAAGAAAATATAGGTCGATATAAACATATATTTGTGTGCACATATCTATATTACACAACAGAAATAAAAAATTTTATAATTATTTCTGTTAATTTATAGGCCTGTACAAATAAAACATAAAAATAAAGAGTTATCGTCAAATTTTTAAAAACGCTATTATATTAACATAAATTATTTAAAATAAATGGCTTTTTTTTATAAATTAACACAACAGTCGTGAGAAATAATATTCATCTTTTCACGTTGGATTTTCTCTAAAGAAATCTTCGTTTTCTTGAAATTCGTCAGTAAATTTTTATCGTATAAATAACCGATTTGTATTCATTTATTAATTTTACTCTTATTTTGATAAATTACAGTATATTATTATATGCTTATTAAAGAAAAATATACTTTATCAACGTATATTATACGGAGAGTTTTGTGTGATTGTGTACAAAAAAAACGAAACTTAATATAACGAAACTTAATATAACAAATGCAAAAATCTTAAAAATATAAAAATATAACTTGTAAAAACTACGAAGGCAAATATTTACACGCACATATCAGATTTCGCATTCTACATCTAGAGAAAAACGGAGAAATTAATAACTTAGGAGAGATCGCCTTAAAAACTCTTCGCGAAGGTTTGTTTCAAAATAAGATCGGTATCACAGTTCCTATGCGTAGCATAACTAGTCGGTACATGTAAGGCTCCATTGGATAAAAATTTTGTCACGTTAAATTAAAACACACGAGTGTTAAATTATATATACGTACTTATGTGGATTTTTTCGAAATCGGTTTTTCAAAGACACTATTTTTACAAATGTTGAAATAAAAAGTCGACAACATTTACATCAACAATATTGTTTTTGAAAAAAACTAGACAGTAAAATTAATCTCTTAGAAACTTTGAAATCTCATAACTACATATATTGTCTAACGATACATTAGAATTTCAGAATATTAAAAATAGATTAATTAAGAAAACTTCTCTCTTTTATCATTTAGGTACAATATGTATATAATTGTAAATTACCATTTTTTTTTTTTTTCGCTAAGGAAGAACATCAACTCAAAAAACACTGATTTGACATCTTAATGCTATCTCTAAACGTCTTATAAAAATTGTAGAAAGACCGTTCGTCTCTCAGTCAGAGTTTGCGTGTCTCGACGTTTTATTTGAACATCTTTCAGATATGCGCGTCACATCCGAGAGAGAATATTAAAATAACTAGGATCAAATGTATGATTTTATATAAATAAAATTTGATATCTTACTGTACAACATTTGCGTCACATTTCGCATTCATTTTGTCAGATAATATACGTAAATTAAAACTGATTTTTTGCAAATAAAAAGAAAAAAAAACAAAAACAGATTTCGATGAAACAGTAAGAGATTCACAGACATTTCACACATTCACAAGTAAAATTATTTGATCAACTTAAGCACATATTTTCGATCGTGCGATGTCAGCGTTAAATTGTGTTTTGTGTTTCCCTCAGATACATTCCACCACACTCTGGTACACACCATATAAAAACGTATATTTAATATTAACATATTTTAACATTTGACTGCAGATACAACATATTGCCAGAATGCTTTTGTCTTTCTTTTAATATTTAATATTTTTAATAATGTGTATATGTATATATATATACACATACACATTCGAATATATATATATATATATTCGAATAAATCTCTTATAAACAGGATTCAAAAGAAAATTCAGAATTGGCAGATTCGCAATTTAAACAAATAGTTTTACTAGAATCAATATATTTTCTACAAATGGTGCAATTATTTGTAACAAGAGGATCAGAAGAAGGTGTAATGAAATATTCCTCATCTTCCGAAACATCAGCAATATCTTCTATCTCTGACTTTATAGTGTCTATTTCTTCTTTTACAGTAACGAAAGCAAATTCATCTACTTCCTTATCCTTCTCGTTAACCGTCGTTGGATCTTGATCAATTTGCTCGTCGATTGCGTTTGCACTTTCGAGAGACTCGACGTCGTCGTCTTCATTGTCCTCTTCATCGTCGTCGTTGTCCTGTGCCAGTTCGTCATTGACTTCCTCGTTCTCGCTCGGATCGCTGGATCTTGCGTCTTCCGGTTTTCCTTTTTTCACATTTGTGTCCGAGTCGCGATCCGTCGTCGTGCAATTTTTTTCATCCTCCAACTTCCGTTTTCTCGTTTTGATATCGGAAATTGGCGCTATGGCTATCTTATTTGAGATTTTACTTGAGTTGGTGATTCGGCCGTTGTGTTTCTCGAACGCGTGTGTCATGAAGTCGCATTCCGTGTTGAAATACGTATTGCAAATAAAGCAGTAATAACAACGTACGTTCACATCGTTCGGCACATCATTCGACATTCGGTGCCTATCGATGTGTATCTTATAATACCAATCTGTCTTAATGAATTTTTTGCAGATGGTACAAAGAGTGCCCTTCTTTTTCTGTGACTTCGATTTCAACGGAGCTTGCGGCACACCATCTTTAGACGGTTTACTTCTAAGACGCGTATTTGGACTTTTAATTTTCTTCTCTACTTCTTTGACCTTGGACTGCGTATCTTTAGTCTCGCCAATTGCTTTGGAAGCAGCTGTCGTGGGAGACGTTATCGCATTAGTCGACGTAATTGCGGCAGATGTTGTGGCTGTAACAGGCGGCACAATTGCATTAGTTGACACAATTGCAGCAGTGGTTACAGCTGTCGCGGGAGGCACTACGGCATCAGATGATACAATTGCAGCCGCTGTTACACCACTTGAAGTAGTTGGAATAGTCATGATGCAAAACTTGGGAATTCCTTGCGTGCGATGTAACAACGACGGCGGCGTTATCAGATTGGTTATAGGCATCAGTCTGTAGACATGCTGAACCTGCGGAGTCGATATGACCTGCGATCCAGTCACGATCCAGTTGTTTACGGGCTGAACGGCGGCGTTTTGTGGCTGAATAGGGATGCGAACCATCGGAGCAGCACCAGAACTAAGAGTAGGAACGGCAGGTATAGTTAGCGTAGTAGTAGCAGTACTGGTGACGATAGTGGTAGCGGTAGTAGCGACAGAACCGGACGCGGCAACAACGGCAACGGAATTCACAGGAGTTGTAATGGGAGTAGTAACAACAACAACAGAAGGAGTGACACTCGCGACACCAGGAGTACTAACGTTAGCAACAAAAGAGAGAGAATTAACAGGCGTGACAATGGGAGTATTAACAGACGCGACTGTCGTAACAGTACCAATTCCGGACAAATTGGATGTCACGTAGTTCTGTTGTTGTAGATTCGCAATTCTCACTTGATTTATGGATGATGGGTTATTTTCTATCGGTAACAGCGTACCCGAAATTATGGTGTTGTGAGGTTTTACCATAATAGCGTTCTGCGGTTTCATCATAATGGTGTTCTGAGGATTAACTGTGATGGTGTTCTGCGGTTTCACCATAACAGTGTTCTGCGGATTTACCGTAATAGCATTCTGTGGTCTTACCGTGATAGTGTTCTGTGGTGTTACCGTGATAGCGTTCGGTGGTGCCACCGTAATGGTGTTCTGTGGTATCACCGAAAATGACACGCTTCTGGCAACGTTTTTGAGATTAGCGTTTTCGTAAATTGAACTAATATTGACAGATTGAATGTTAGACATATTGGTCGATTGAATGGGCACCGAATTCACCGGGATTGTAATTTGTCTTGACAATTGACCGTATTGATGATTGACCGGTATCTTCGGTATAATTATTAATTCCTCGTTGTTTTGCAAAACTTCCATCGCCTTTTCGGGATTCGAGTAATCGGTTTTTCTAAATTTTGCGTGTTCTAATATCTGCAGCTCTCGTTCGCGCATTCTTTCTCTCTGCAGATCCATTTTGTTTATATTGTTGTGCCTATATTCATTTTTTCTCTTACAATTTTTGTGATAAAACCGAGATTTCCAACCTTGGAGTTGCACACCGCAGATATCGCACTCGGAAATTTTGTCGCATCTGTTTAATATTATTGCCGCTCGACGACAGCGATTATGATCTATGTTGAGCGCGTCACATTTTTCGTTCTCGCAGTGCTTTCCAAGCGGTGCGTTTATCTCGTTCTCTTCTATGTTTATTGCTAATATCGGCGACACTCTCCCGTTTTCTACGTACTGTTGTATAGTCACGTCACAAATAATATTTTCGCAGTCCTCGTAATGACCGCATAGTTTTCTTTCTCTTTTAATAGGAACCAGAATAATTTCCGATTTCTTGTTTTCTATTTTCGAGGGCAGTAGGTGTATGTCCTCCTGCTCGTCCAATGCGCTTTGTTCACTTCTCACAGATACTATCGACAACTCAGGTAATTTTGATTTGTTGTTTGATGTTCTGGTAGCGTTTGTTTTATTCCCAATTACATTATTGATGGATTTGTTTACTGAATTTGCAGGAATCGTCTTAACAATAAGATTTGGTTGATTAAAAAGTCGTTTCACTGAAGCTGACTGCACCTAAACAATAAATTTTGAATCAGTTTTCCATCTTCTTGTCATACCAACACAGTCTAGTCAACTAAAAATATAAAATCGGAGTCATTTTTAAATCATTGCGCCTAATAAAGAATAGCTCTAGAAATAATTTCTAGAAATTAAATATTTATAACTTTCCGCGCGAGAATGAGATGACATCAAACGAGCGAAAGAAATAATAAACTATGAAGTTTTAAAAGCAAAAGATCAACGTTTTGTTTTATCGCGTAACACACGTAAAGTTTTAATTATTTTATACAAATACATATTTTTGCACTTTTTGCAATAAATATTTATTGCAAAATATTTTGATTTTTTTTTCCTGTATTCAATGTAATCGCATGTATTATTAAAACGCATATACATACTTACGTCAGATAAAGAGTTTTTTGTGGTTTGCCATGTTTCGTTTCCTACGGACTTATTAATTGGTACTAACTTGATTGGCAACGCGAACACCTTCATGATTTGACACACGAGCGATCAAACGGGCTCCCCTGTAATTTAAAACAAAAAACATTCGATCGTGACACACAATAATGGCAAAAACAAACAAAGCAACGCTCAGATGTTAAAATTCTGGCGATACACTTTTGTTTATTTCCAACTGCTACACCTGCGATTGTGAGAGCAGCAGACGGNTNAAAAAAAAAAAGAAAAAAAAAAAGCGGCCACGTAAGGAAATTAAGAGAGAGAGACGATAATGCAAAAAAAAAAAAAAAACGAATTCGTTGTAACTTTAAATAACTCGAGTATTGAGCATGACGGTTTGCATATGACGATGGTTATGTGGATTTTGCCGCCAAACTTGTACTCACGCGTCTACTGATTTTCGATCAGCGGCATAACTCGATCGCTCTGACACAACAGCGAAATCTCTAAATTCACGATATCCATTAATCCACTACGGTGGATACGCGTGAATTGTTCATTGAAACGTTTTTTTTGCGGACATGTGAACTTGGAATTTCATAATTGTGTCCGAAATGAAAAAAGTGTCCGCGTCCGTTAAATCAAAAACATCGTCTTATCTTTGTCGACGAATGACGACGACTCTTGATGATTTTGGCTGGAAAATTACACAATAAAATGAGACACTTGTCGCATAAACATTGATGTTAACCCTAATTGCATACGTGAATAGTTCGCATTCTCGTTTGTGAACTTTAATATCCACGGCGCTTGCGCAGATTTGCAGGCCTGCGTGCTGCTAAATTTTGGATTTCAAGAAACCTTGTTCCTCGTCATTCCGTTTGTTTCTGCTTTGCCGCGCACGGATATGGTAGCGCTCTCTTTTTCTTTTCTCTCGACTTGACTCGTTGAACAACGCGCGTGTGCGCCGTTTGGAAATTTCACAAAGTTTAATTTTACTTTTTTTTTTTAAATTAAAACGTTTTCGATCGGTTGATTCGCGACTCTCGATGATCGACTAATCTCTCTCTCTCTCTCTCTCTCTCTCTCTCTCTCTCTCTCATTTCACTTTGGTTGGCAAATCAAACAATACGATTTATCGATCTGTCGAAATTTGACGTTTATTAAATCGCTCCGACAGCGATTCGCACCGATTGAAAATGCCGTTACAGCCAATTTTTTTCATTTCTAGATAAGTTTTCGATAACTTTATCTAGAAGATATATCTCAAAATTGATTCTCCTTATTGGTTCTCAGAGGAATTTATCCAGAGGATAGCTATCGAGAGGTATGAAGAAATCGACCGTTAGAGACCGTTTTTCGAGTACAGTGGTGTCTCGAAATTTTTCCGCTCCCCGGTTTCGCGAGCGAAAAAATTTCGAGGAAGTTATACGAGGTGTGATCAAAAAGTAAGGTGACTCTTTGAATTTCGCGCGNTCTGTACACTCTAATTTCAAAATTTTTTTGTTGTTGTGTTGATACACTCGTCACGATCATATCGTCACTCCCTGCGTATAATTACATAAGTGTCACATATGGGATTTTCAGTTTATTGCATAGTGACACTCAGAAAGTCATGTTCTTTGTGGTCACCAAGTATTAAAAAAAAATAATCATAAGTAAGGTAAAAATTTAAAACCGAAAGATCTCTTAACTAGGGAAACTATATGAAGCTTCAAACTTTTAAACTGCTCTCCTCTAAAATTTGCGTTTTGGAGTTACGGGATTATACGTAGGGAGTGACGAATATGTTCACAGTTTTGACTATATAGCATGTGTTGTTTTTATGTGAGAGGCATAAAGGTTAGACTCGTGTTTGCGTGCTCGGCAATTTTTTGCTGTTGAAAATAATGGAACAGAGAGTTTGTATTAATTTTTGTGTAAAAAATGGTATTAAGTGTTCAAAAACTGAACTTGAAATGTTGACAGTGGCGTACGGTGAGTCAACTTTGAGCAAAAACAATGTTTATAAATGGTATAAGTTATTCCAAGAGGGCCGAGAAAATGTTAACGATGAACCTCGCTCTGGACGCCCCAGCACGTCAAAAATCGACGAAAATGTTAAGAAAGTGAAAGAAATTGTGTTGAAAAATCGTCGAATCAATCGATTAGAGAAGTAGCTGATGATCTTAACATATCGTTTGGCTCATGCCAATCAATTTTAACGGATGTTTTGGGTATGACACGTGTGTCAGCGAAATTCGTTCCAAAACTGCTTAATTTTGATCAGAAGCACACACGCACACGTCGTTATTAGTGAATAGGTTTTTGGCCACAAACAATACTACCATCATGCCTCAGCCATTGTATTCACCAGATTTGGCCCCCTGCGACTTTTTCCTCTTCCCAAAATTGAAAAGGCCCATGAAAGGACGAAGATTTGTGACGATTGAGGAGATTAAGGCTGCATCGCTGGAGGAGCTCAAGGCAATACCCAAAAGTGCATTTCAGAAGTGTTTTGACGACTGGAAAAAGCGCTGGCACAAGTGCATTGTATCAGAGGGGGATTATTTTGAAGGGGATAACATAATTTTGGATAAATAAATGAATATTTTTTTATAAAAATGAAAAGTCACCTTATTTTTGGTAAATATATAGAAAAGGTCACCCCCCTCCGATTTCAATGAGCTTGACATATGTTGTCAAGGACACCTTCCTGAGTAACAATCCGTAAATTTTAGCCGTCGCTCGTTGTTAATAAAAAAGTAATGAACAATTGAAGTTTGAAAACTAAGGCTATATTATGATGTACCTACATATAAATATATATATATATATTTACACATACATAAATATACATATATATATAATATGTATATGTAAATGTATATGTAGCGTCACAGCCCGTAGTCCCGTCAATTTTAGAATTGACTAGTCAATATCCGAAGAGCAAATGTTTTATATTAACACGTTCACGCCGGGGCGAAAATCTACGTTTTTTCGCGTGAGGCGGGACTGTCTTATCTCCTTACGCTTCGTGGGGCGGGGCAACACTGTTCCGTGGGGCGAGTGTGACCCACCGGTGGGGTCACGCCGCCCCACGGAACAGTCAGGTGTGACCCACCGGTGGGTCACGCCGGCGTGAACGTGTTAAACACGTAATCTCTGATTACGCGTTACGCGTTACGCAAAAAATAACAGTGCATGGGATCACATCCTAATTCTTTCATGTTTTTTATGTTGATGTTGTAAACGTGTAGGCAGGGGGGCGCAGCCCCCCTGCCTACACGTTTACAACACCGACAAAAAGATCATGAAAGAATTAGTCTTGTTTTAATACTACTCTATCCTATTGAGTCTGATTGACACATTCTCGGGCTTTGACGCTAACATATACATACATACATACATAATTACAAATTGTAAATGTTTCCAAATTTTCAGTTACTAGCAAAAATTGGCAAACTTAGTTTTCAAACTTCAATTGTTCATAACTTTTTTATTAACAACGAGCGATGGCTAAAATTTACGGATTGTTACTCAGGAAGGTGTCCTTGACAACATATGTCAAGCTCATTAAAATCGGAGGGGGGTGACCTTTTCTATATATTTACCTTATTTTTTGATCACACCTCGTATATTAGGTCTAACGGAAAGTTCTGTCCGTTTTTGGAATAAAACAAAATACAAATTTTTCTTACCGTCAATAAACTTTATTAAACAATATAATTGCCATTATTATTAATGATTTCTTGCCAGCGTGAGGGCAATTTGTATATACCATTTTTGAAAAATTAAGAAAAATTTGTATTTTGTTTTATTCCAAAAACGGACAGAACTTTTCGGTAGACCTAAAATATATTCCGAGAATTGCCGGCTGTGTTGTCTCCGATTGATTCGACCATGGTCTCGTCCGCCGCGGAGTCATCCCCACCAATTTGCGCGGAGCACTTCTTCAGAATTGTGCGGGGGATGTCTTCCGGAAAAATGCGGAAAATTTTCGAGGCACTATTACGTATCTACGAATCTAGCACAATCAAATACACCCGCGTACCCACAGAGCAATTTCTTTGTTAAATTGCTAAATAATTTGGTATAATTTTAATGTTGTAACAGAGATTAACAGCGCCTCTGTTGTCTAAATGGCCAAAAAGTGACACATAAATGTGAAACAGAGGCCAAAAAAAAAAACATCGCTGGCGTCCTCCTTCCAAAGGCTCCCGTTCCAAAGAGTAAACGGTCTTGTTACATGTCGATAGTTATTACATAACAAAAAAAAATACGCCATTCACTTTGCCACAAAACAAAGTCCGCGGAACGTTTCCGTCCGTTACGTGAAAACTATCACTGCAAAATAAAACACGCGCAAATAAAATAAAAAGAACCGTTTTGCTGGCGGCAACTTTCTCAGATTCTCGTTCCAAAATATCAAACAATATCGTATTACACGTAGTTGTCAATAGATAGTATACGATAGTATACGAAACAAGTTCACTTTGTCACTAAAGAAGGCTCGGAACCCGTTACCCGTTTATTCATTAAAATCGTTATCTCAATTACGCGTGCGAATCGAAAAAAACATTGCTGGCGGCTTCCTCCAGGTTTTTGCTCCAAAAACACGGTCTTATCACGTGTCAATAGTAAATATTACACAATGAAATTGTGTTTACTTTGTCACCATACATAAGACTCGGATGTTTTCTGTTTATTAATCAAACCACTGTCGCACGCTAACGACGCGTGCGAGGCGGAGAATAAAATTTGTCACACGCGAAGATAAAAGGAACACTTGCGGATAACGTTCATCCGAAAACACATTTGATAATAGAGTCAAAAACATAAAAAATTAATATTATCATAATATAAAAATTAACCTGTCTCGGCAAATAACGTCGAAATCTTGAAACAGAGAGAGAGAGGAACGTTTCATTCCGAGTTCATTTCGCAGAAACAAGACATTATTATTGTTTTTCCTACTGTACATTGTACAACAAATTTCATCTAACTCTCTACGTGCCTATCTTACAAATATTAATATCGTTACTTGGGAATAGAAGGGATGTCAAAAATATTGGAAAATTTGTCAAGAAAAGACGAGAGCCTAAGAGTTCGATGTCATTTTGCAGATTTGATATCTTAAGTTTTATTTTTTTTTATTTTTATTTTTTTTCAAAAAAGAACGCGCTCTTATATCACGAACACTTATTTAATAACGACAGGCATTGCTGAAGCAAAGACTTGCTCCTCGCGGAAACACGCGAAACGAATGTCGGGGATTGTCTTCGTAATGAAAAAAACAATTCGCACACACGTGTGCGATATATCACACACTTTGTGTTGAGACAGCGCAATTTAGCGAATAAGCAATTCGCAGTGAGGTGTGCAAATAAATGAATTCAAAAAAGCTTTATTGAATTACAAAAATTCTGCGGGAGATAGTGATCTGGACGTTCGTTTATATATATATGTAGGAACTATATTATACAGAGAACCGAAAGTATAGAATAGAAATATTTGTTTCGGATTGGATGTATGTATGTACAAAAGAATTCTGTTCGATGCAGGAAAAACAAGTTAATAAATGCATTAACAAATTATCGGTAGTAGAATTCTCGTGAAGGAATTCTCCCAGACGATATACGGTTGTCTATCATCAACCGAAAGGGACGACACCTAAAGCGTTCTCTTAAATAAAAAAAAATTATAAAAAAAATCTAATTTCAAAAATATTCTACAAGACGTTTTATCTTTTTTTTTTTGGGTGTCTCTCTCGCACTTAGACATGTGTATATTGTCTGGGTTTCAATATTACGCTTAACACAATAGATTCAAGAAATAGAAAAAGCTGTTTCTCGCAGTTGCACGCGTGTGGGGAGTAACTTACTTAAATTAATTCATCGAAGCGCGAAGAAAGGCACAGCAGGTGACAATAATAATGTCGAATTCGTGTTAACAGCTTTTTTTCATTTCGCACAACCTGTCGATTTCGGCAAATAACGTCGAAATCTTGAAACAGAGAGAGAGAGGAACATTTCATTCTCCGAGTTCATTCCGCAGAAACAAGACATTATTATTGTTCTTCCCACTGTACATTGTACAAAAAGTTTCATCTAACTCTCTACGTGCCTATCTTACAAATATTAAATCTATTTACACCGATCAGTCAAATAAATAGTTTTTTTTTTTAGTCTTTGCGTTTAGAGCAGCCCTCGAGACGAAGCCTCGTTATCAAAGAAAACGCGTTTGCGACGCGCTACTGATAACGAGGGTACGTGTCCCTTTTGAAACAGACACGCTACGCGTGCGTTCTTTAGAAGGAAAGATCTATTTATTAAAATTAAGTCGTTATATTTTTAAATTAAATCTTTTTAGTTTTTTTAAAAAATATAATATACTAATTTAACGCGCGCGTGAAATAAAATGAAAAGGTGAAAGGCGTTGCTGCATGACTGAGGCGAAGTATTAGCAATTAGTTCCAGCTTGCTGTCTACCTCGCAAGAATATACCACTTTTTTTACTCGATTCGCAATGTTACTAGCGAGAGCTAACATCTAGACTTTTCCTAACTAATGGCGCTTTTCAATTTTGTTAATTTTCTCACGAGGAAGGTAAAACCCTCTTGTGTGTATATGTGTGTGTGTGTGTGTATGTGTAAAGGTACGATATTTTTTTTCCTTCAAACAACATGCGCCTAAGAGATGTCTCTCTTACATCTGAAAATTGAAAATTTTCTGTATCTGTGAAAAAAAAAATGAAAGTTTTTCAGACAACTTTGAGACATCTTTCAGACGCGCGGTGTTATGCGAGGATGATGATTTTTATTACATATTAATCTTTGGAAAGGGGTACCTTCCACATTTCTATATCAGGTGTGTGTGACTCATTTTCTGTCTCAGATATGGCTGCAATTTCCGACGGCTTTCAACTCAAACGGTGCGACGTATTTTTGTTTTTGTTTTTTTTTTCCACAGTACTATCTGTAGTAGTATGAGATATAAAATAATTTGGTCGCATCTATAGCCTGCTGCTAGTCGTTTTACAACGGTGTGGCGTTTTACAACAGTGTTTTCTATATGCAATAGAATTATTTTCTTTACACGTAAGGTATATCACAGAGGTCAAGTAATTTCGTACACGCCGTTTCGATTTTTTTTTTTAATTATTATTCAAGCGAACACTTCGAAAATAATGTTACTTATTTTTTTGTAATATCTCGTTTATATAAAACGCTTAAGATAAATATTTATACATTTAATTATATATAGTGGCTTTTACATACGCACGCTCCTGAACATCGGCAATATAATATATATATATATGTATATAGGGTAGTCTCTACAAAAAATATGACGATTTTCAAGTGGATTATACTATGTACAAGATTTTTTTTTTTTTTTTTTT